TGGAATACTCAAGGAACAAAATATCATAATAGCCGAGTACAAAGAGAGCTCATCTCATTCATTCATTTAGTTGCATTGTATTTTAATATCGTAGATAGCATTCAGATCTCGAAAATCGAGTCGGACGATGCGAGTCCATATGGTGGATTACACCAGAGAGTAAAACTCCTATCCCATAACCAACATCCTCAACAACTGTTTGTTCCCTTAAACCTTCATCTCAGTGAGACCGTGCTTCCAGACAGTGATGTATGGAGTAACACCGTCCTCACGGTAGTTCATGAGAACGACCCTATAGAATATGTAAGTGTGTGTGTTGACAAACTGGGGTAATAAAAAGAGAGTAAAGCTTACATTCCATCGGGGTCCATAGATTCACCAACATAGAAGTCATAATCCTTGAAACCTCCAACGATCTTCTTTGCATATGCAGCGGCACCCTTCTCGAATTTGGTAACTTCCTCTTCAGAGGCACCTGATGTCTTCAAGTGCTCCTTAACAGCCTTCATGTAACCTGACCATAAACGTTAGTATAAATCCTTCTATATGTATATTTGAAGGAGAGAGGCATACCTTTGAGATGGGAAAGGTAGGATTTCTTGTCGAAAGAGGTAGAGTTGAGACGGAAAGAGTTAACGATATCGTTGACCTTTTGCTCTCCATCTTCAGTACCCTCCTCAGCTTCTTCAGCAGAGGCGTTGGCACCAGTATCTATAATTCGAATATGTTAGATTATTATCCTCCTATTGTTTTGCCGCTCTTCATAGACTCAATCGATTCGGGCGGGGTAATTTCTGAACGTACCGACGTTGACAGCGCCAATGGTGATCATGCTGCAGTTGACCTCATAGACAACACCATCGACCTCCTTCAAGTCGTAAGAGTCGGAGATGATCTCATCACCAGTGATAACATCCTATAAAAATTCCAAAATCAGTTTTCATTCATTCATGATTCTCCTTTTAATTCCTCTCTCGTATATCCCTACCCCCAGGAAAATCTCAGATCTCGAGTCTTCAGAATCATCTGCCAAAGCGGTAAATGCGGAAAGACAGGTTATAACTCACTTTATAGATAATCATATTGACGGTTTGGTTTGAGTTGAATTGAAAGAGATGTTGAGATGTTTGTGTATAGGTAGGAACAATTTGTGGGATGTGGTTTCTGATGAAGGAAGATAGTGGGAAAATTCTTTGGAGGGGAAGTTTAACGGGATTTGGCTTAGTGTGTTAGGGGTTTTTGGAGACCTTACTGATTTGGACAACTGTGGGCAAAATTGGATAGAAAATTTATAGAATGCCAGGCATGGAATTAAAGCCACAGTTAAAAAGAACCGAGCTGTGGCTTTGATTCAGACGTGTCGGGTTACCTCTCTACGATAGGTTATACCCAGTAGTGCCTACTAGGTACCTAGTTAAAAGTTGCTACCGTAGAGTATCATTTCTTTCTTCATTTTCTTCCATGTAGTTTCATTCCATCCGACATTCTGCTTTCACTTACGTAAGCACCAAGACCTACGAACCAGTACCATACATGTATGTGCATGGGCGAGATGGGCTCATGGGCTGATTTGATGGATATGTAGCATGGACTGATCGCTTTATACCTACGCTCGAGCTACGGAAGCAAATATTCCGTATGCCGAGCTGCATTGATACAGAATCCAGAAGTGATATCTATCATTGATATCCATATCAATCATTTTTATGGATAAAACCAAACTTTCGAGCACAGCGAGGCAATGGGGGTTGGCTTGCCCCCATCAAGAAACAATAATGAATGAATGAATGAATTAATTAATTAATAAATGATGAATCCAAATGACGCTCCGCTGGCCCTTCGGGGACCACTGCCGTGGAGGCAGACTATGTACTATATAGGTATATACTACGAGTACATGAGTATATACTTGGAAATACTCTCTGCATTGCATTTTATTATCATCTAACCGCCCGTCAGCCTTAAGTTAGTTCACGTCACGTACATTGATGCCCATCATTTTACATTCGCCTGAAGAAATTGAATTAAGGCATAAAGTGTGAGTGTGACTTGGGTACCTAAAAGTACGAAGTAGTTGATAAGAACTCTTAAATCACATTCACTTCCATATGCATACAGGCTGATCCCATATAAAAATTGTTACCAAAATAAATCACGTATATGCCATATGCCATTCATGATTCATCCCGTGAAGTAGACACTAGGTATCTACCTAACGTATCAACTAGGTAGGTACTAGGTAGGTAGGTAGTGACTTATTAGCCCTTCCCCTTCCCCTTCACTTCACATGAACATCATGCCTTTTTTCCTAATCTAAATCATCTCATCTGATAATCCTGGAAATTACTAACGTGGTTTAACACCGAGTGCACCATATCACCGAATGCACCACTTTTACCTCAATTTGCACTCTTCAATTTCAACACGCGATTTATCAATTATTTATTATGTAATCAAACAGAAAAGAAGCTCAAATATTCTTAGTTATTAAAGCTATTCAAAAAGATAAAAAACTTAGTATTCGAAAGGTTATTAAACTATATAATATAATATATATAATACTTTTTTATAAAATAAATAGTTTATTTTCTTATATGAAAATTCAAGTAAATAATTATAAAATAATTGATTTAGAAGAGGAAATACTTATTTAGTATATAATTAATATAGATAATAAAGGATTTTCATTTAAATTAAGTAGTATAGAAGATATAACGAATTATATTCTTTAATTGTAAAAAGTAAAGAAGGTTGGAAAGCTTTAGGCTTATTAATTTATAAAATATTATATAAGATTAAAGATATATTTTAATTGTATTTATAATTTTCAAAAAGCTTTTTATAAAGATTCTAAGCTTATTGAAAACTGGTTTTATATAATTTCGAATATGCAAACGAAATATAATATTCTCGATTATGATTTCTATAATTTCAATGAAACTAGCTTTATAATAGGTATAATATACTCTAGAATAATTATAATTAATGCTAAATGAAATAGTAGAAGAAAAATAATATAATTGAATAATCAAGAATAGGTGATAGTGATTATATATAGTAATAATAAGGGAGATATTATACTTCTATTTCTAATAATTCAAGGACAAATGTATCTTTCTAATTAATATACTGAAATCAATTTTTCTGTAAATTGGGCTATTAAACTTATATTTAATAGATGAATAAACAATAAGATAGAATTAGAATAATTGAAATACTTTGATAAATATATAAGAAATCAAATTAAAAGCAAATATAGAATATTAATATTGAATAAATATAAAAGTTATAAATTAATATTATTTCAGAATTATTATAAGGAGAATAATATTAAATATATATATTTATTATTATATTTAAGTTATTTAATTTAATCTTTTGATATTAGATATTTTAATATCTTAAAACAAGAATATAATATTCAAATTAAAGGGTTTATAAAAGTATATATTCATTATATCTTAAAAATCGAATTCTTTATAGTTTTTAAAATTATATATTAATAATCAATTACGAATTAAAATATAAGAACTGAATTCCAAAAAATAAAATTAGTTTTATTTAATCCTGAAATTATACTTTCTAAATTGAATATTCGAATTTATATATCTATTTCCTTTTCTTTTGATTTAAATCTTTAGATTTCTCAAATATCTCAAAATCTTACAAAAACTTTTTTTTAATTAATATTAATTAAATCTCGAATAATCTATTATTAATTAAACTCTTTTATATCTATATTCAAAATTATATTAATTTTAGTTAAAAGTATAAAGAGATTAGCTTATAAGAATATACTTTTGAATACAGAGATTTATATACTTTGGAAAATAAATAAAATATTAAGCAAATATTGATACATAAAAAAAACTCGATTATATTAAGAAGGAGTATTTATTAAATAAAAGGCTTTTAATATATTATCTTAATAAGAGATTGATATTCAGATTCAATATAATGAATATCAAAATAAGAGAAATTCTAATAAAAAAGTATCTTTTAATTAATATTATAATAAGTATGGAAAACTAGATTATAATTCAAGAATTTGTTAAAATAATATAATAGATCCTAGATTATTAGATTCTTAATAGTTTTAATTAATTGATTCAATTGTTATTGAATAATATAAATTAGAAAGTGCAAATTGAGGTAAAAGTGGTGCATTCGGTGATATGGTGCACTCGGTGTTAAACCACGTTAGGTAGATTCCCGATTCCCGATTTCCGCCGTTTTCATTCATATTCATACTACGAAGTAGGTCCCTACAACCCACCGTTACATGTGAAAAAGCATTTTTATGGCTTAAATAATGTAAAATTACATGTACGCACGCAGCTGATTACGTAATTACATAACTCTCCCTCCGGAAGTACCGGCATTAAATTTTAATTCGTTCACTCAAAACAAACCTCATCTGACTTTCCCAGTGGCGTGGATCCTATGTCCGTCATTTACTATTAAGAGCTTTTCCATCAAGTTACAAAACATTCCGCTTATTGATTGAAAGGAGTAGAAAATAAATGCGATCCCTCCGTACTCTGTAGTACTAATACCCATGGTATCCCTTTTCATTTGCGTCTGAATCTGAAGACAAGAAGAGAAAGAGAAAAAGTGGAAGATTTATAATGACTTATTGAATTTTATGATAAATAGTTAAAAAGTTGAAAATTAGACTCATTATCAAACTATATTTCTACTCTTTTCCTATTTCAATCATCTCAACTCATCTCATCTCTCTCAAACTTCACTTTCCTTATTCTTCCTTTCTTACCTTTTATACTTCTACCATCATACCACTTTATCAAAGTCAACAACCAAAACCTACATCATCACATTCCTTTCGTGTGCAACACGATAACTGCTGCAGCGATCAATTCAGCTGCTCAATCTCCAATAACTCTTTAATAAATACAATACACTTCACTTCACTTCAATACTCTACAATACTCTACATAATGGCGAATATAACCAACCTCTCAATTAACTCGACGACAACAATGTCCGACCTTCCGCCACTTCCTCAATATACTCTTACCCCCCTCCAACCACTCATTCCATACGTATCCGATTTCTACCTCTCGCTCATTGTTCCAATCGCCGCATACTGGATCACTTCCTTTGTCTTCCATGTAATCGATACTCTAGATCTTTGGCCGCAATATCGCCTGCATACTCCTGCAGAAATCCTCAAAAGGAATCGCGTCTCACGTTACGAAGTTGCTCGCGATGTGATCATTCAACAAATCATTCAAACCATCGTTGGGGCTCTGCTAGGCCTCACCGAACCCGAAGAGATGGCCGGGAAGACGGAATTCGATATTGCGAATTGGGCGCAAAGGATACGCATAGCACAAAGAGCTTTACCGTCCATCTTAAGTTTGATTGGACTGAATGCATCCGCGTTATCGAAAGACGTAGCCGGGAATTGGCCAATTGTGGCGGGAGTATTGGCTGGTGGTAAATATCCAAGTTTGATGGATGGTTTGGATGTGGTTAGTGGTCAACAAATTCCTGCCTTTGCGGAATGGGAAATGATCGCTGCGAAGATGATGTATTGGTATATTGTACCCGCATTACAATTTGGATTGGCAATTGCCATCGTGGATACCTGGCAATACTTTTTGCACAGAGCTATGCATATGAATAAGTGGTTGTATAGTGAGTTTACCTTTTCTTGAGCCTTGCATGTGCAACGATGATCTAATGTATGATTTTTACAGCAACTTTCCACTCACGCCATCATCGTCTTTATGTTCCATATGCCTATGGTGCCTTATACAATCATCCCGTTGAAGGTTTTCTTCTCGATACCCTTGGCGCATCAATTGGCTACAAACTTGCCGGCATGACATCTCGTCAAGGAATGGCATTTTTCGTTGCTTCAACTATTAAAACTGTGGATGATCATTGTGGATATGCACTCCCATGGGATCCCCTTCAACACATTACAAGTAATAACGCAGGATACCATGATATTCATCATCAAAGTTGGGGAATCAAAACCAATTTCAGTCAACCCTTCTTCACATTCTGGGATAGATTATTAGGAACAGTCTGGGTTGGTGATACCACAGGAAGATATGAAAGAGGTAGAAAAGCGGCAGAGGTATTGGTCGAGGCGGACAAGGTTAAGGTTGGGGGAAAGGAGTTGTGATTTTCGGGGCATGGTTAGATGCACAAATGAAAGAATGTACATTACGACGACGACCACCACCTCACAGACCTGCGATGGGCACTTGGGATTCTACTTCTTTTTCAACAGCAACAACTTTTTCATGTATTGATTGGAAATTTGGGAATCATACTTTTGGGGAACCAATTTTTATAGGGAAAGGAGCTGGCGTTTTTATGTTGAAGATTGATGAGAGAAGGGAGAGGTGTACATTATGAGATCTTGGTAATAGGCTGATGGCGTGGTTTGACAGAGTCAAGAGAATGAGGATGAAGATAAGGATTACACTCAGTTCAAGTGGAAGTGTTAATTCTGTTCAAAGAGAGCAGAGAAGAGTATCAGGTGGTTATGGACAACGAGGAAAGGCACGGACACAACTTCAACCCAAGCTCACTTACTTCCAAAGAAAGGAAATGGAGAAGGAATGGATAGAAAATCAGCAGGATGCTGATGGCGTATGTTTGGGATCGGAACGGGATAGGATGCGGATGGAGATGGAGATTGAGATGAAAGGATACGTATGATACGATTAATAGTAATATTATATAACACTTCTATTCTATTCTATTTCTTCTATTCTTGTGATGTCACTTTTATGGTCATTACATGAGATGTTTTAATTTCACTTCCTTCCCCCTTTTTTGACATTGATTCATTGATGGGTTTGGTTCCTCGTATTCCGCGTATTCATCGTATTCCGCGTATTCATCGTATTCGGACTCGGATACGTATGTATGTATGTATGGCCGGCCAAATCTGGATTTCGGGTTTCAGATTTTGCATATGGATATGGATACAGGTGCAGGTATAGATGTAGATGTGAAATAGGGAGGTACGGACTCGGACTCGGACTCGGATGCGGACTCGGATTCGGATTATTGGGATTTATCGTTTATCGTTTACCGTTTACCGTTTGTCCGGGGTTTAGGGGAGAAGGGATAGGGAAATGGGAATAGGGGGGAGGGGAGGAGGAATGAGAGGAGGAGGAATGAGAGGAGGATGAGAGGGGAGAGGGGGGATGAGAGGAGGGGGGATGGAAGGCGATAGGAGATAGAGGATAGGGAAATGGGGATAGGGGATAGGAGATAAGCAATTAGGAATTAGGAATTAGGGAATTTGGAGGGGGGATAGGGAATTTGGAAGAGAAGGGAGGAAGGGAGGATGAGAGGGGATAAGGATAAGTGGAGGAATGGAGATCGAGATAAATATAGATTGAAGTATGTATAGATTGAAGTATGTATAGATCGAAGTGAATATAGGGTGAAGTAAGTATAGATGGAAGTAAGTATAGGGATGAGAATGAGGATAAAAATGAGAATGAAATATTTAAGGAGACATTTAGGTAAGTAATAAGTATCTGAGTAGTGGGATAGGTATTTAAATAATGGGATTTGCAGATGAAGATTAGGAATAGTGATAGGACTAGGTAGGACTAGGAGAGGATTTGATTGTAGGCTTGATTATGGGCTTGATTATAGATTAGATTTTAGGAAGGAAGAAGTAGAAGAGGGGTGAAGGAGGAATGAGCTGGGAAATGATGAGGTGATGAGGTCATGAAGGGGTGGCTGATTAGGTAGTTAAAGATGTGTGTATATATATATATATAGAAAACTTAAAAACTTATAATTTGATTAATTTGATTACTTTGATCAATTTCTAAACTATAAATTATAATGAATAAATAAATTTATTGATATTGAGAGGGAAAAGAGGATGTATACTTGGGATTTTGAGAATATATGTTGAGAGATACTGGGTAGATATTGAGGAATGGATTTTGAGGAATGGATTTTGAGAAATATATGCTGAGAAATACTAGGTAGATATCTGAGTAGATATCTGAATATGTTATGTTTTGTTGTGGATTTTAAGTTCAGAGTTGAGAGGTTGGAGATTGGAGAGGTGACTGAAGAGGTGATGAAGAGAAGTTAGAGGGTTATAGAGAAGAAATAATGAGGGGGTTATATTTTATATTCACTTAGATATGTATATATATGTATGTGTATATGTGTATAATATATATGTATAGATATATGTATATATGTATGAATAATCGGCTAGGATGAAGAATCAATTTGTATATATATAGTATATAATATATAAATGTAGAATTAATATATATATTTACATAAGATTAATATATGGAGAATAATATATACGATGAGAGTGAAGATGAAGACGAGGATATTATAGATAATTGTAAGGGAGGTTTTCCGGTGAGGATTATTTTGATTGACTTTTATTCATAGGAATACTCGTTGTTGTTTCTGGTGTAATCATCTCCTTTTTTCTTTTTTCTTTTCTTTTCTTTTTTTCTTTCTTTTCTTTCATCTTTTCTTTCATTCTTTCGTTCTTTCATTCTTTCGTTCTTTCGTTCTTTCGTTCTTTCGTTTTTTCAGGTCTGGTTTGAAAGTGTGGACACTGGGATTGTTGTATAGTTTATTTGATTTTTAGATTGTTAAGGTGTCTGAGAGGAAATTTGAAGCATAGTGGTAGTATTTCGAGTTTGTTTGTTTTTGGGAGGGAGTAGGAGGGAGAGAGGGAGAGGGGTTATATATATAGAGCAGAGAGAAGGGGGGTAAATGGGGTAGATGGGGAAAGAGGGGTGATGAGGGGTGGTGCGGGGAAGTGAATTGGGAGGGGTAAAGAGAGGAGTAAGTGCGGGGGAGGAAATCATATAATGAATAAGGGGCGTAAGTGAGGGGTAAGTCTGTGAGGGGCAAGTGAGGGGGTCAACTAGTGGAGCGAGTTAGTACAAAGTGAACAAACAAACACATAATAAACACAATACTCAGAATCCATCAATCATCTAAACACAACCCAGACGAATCTATAAAAACAGCTTCGATATCCGGGTATGATATGTACTCAACATACAAATAAGATTATGGGAGAAGCTGTAATGGTGAACTTGAATTGCTGAAGACAGGGCGTGAGTGATTTTTTGTCTTGGAGAGAGTACGGAGATAATTTTGGTATTGATGGGGGTTGAAATAGGGTTGAGGAAGAAGAGGGGGAGGAGGGGATTAGTTAAGCGAGTGATGAGTAATGATGCTTGAGATTTGTTGTTGATGTGATGGGTTGGTTGGTAGTGGTAGAGATACTTGACGGTGATGGGAATATCCGATAACAGTAAAGAAACTTGATAGTAATAGAGATATTCGACAGTGATAGAGGTAGCTGAGATGATAATAATGATGTTATCTACATAGCGATTACTCCATCTCTTTAGCTGAACTGTCCATGGAAGGATTGAAACTACATACCTAGTTATCCATAAAGGACCTTGTTCAGGGTTCCAAAGAAACATGATGGGCACACCACTCTCAAGAGCAAGCCGGATGATTTTTGAAAAATCAAAGGGTTAGATGATAAATACATGGTTGAATTGAATGATATCTTGAACAGAAGATCTCGATTTACTGGCCTATTCATCAGGGGAAGGAATGCAAATCTCTGCTGTAGCAAATTCATTGTCTAGTGTCCGATTCTCGCTTCTCTGGGAAGGAATTTTTTACACGGAAGGGGGTGAACTGATGGTTCAGTATATCTGCCTATATAAACCTCGCTCCTATCCTTCCTGAGACCATTAGAAAAATCCAAACCTCATGAAATCCGAAACGCGAATTCTGCAGCAAGAGATATTCTGATCAATGTTATCAGAATTCCGATTTCGGGAACTGGGCAGATGCTGTGAGTACATCTAAGCCGAAACCCAAACTATGGGATAGCAAGGACATATATAACAGCCTATTATCGATCAAATGACAATAAGACTTTTTCACTATCATTTCAAACTCATAACCAACAACATACATTTGTTATGTTCCCGCACCCGTATCCTTCTCTCCCCAACCCTCTCCCCCAATTCCCCTTTCCTACTTCCGCACCAAGCCCGGAATCCCATCCAATCCAGCTCAGCTTTAATACTTCAAAATAAACACTACCCTACCCTCCATCGCGTAGGAATGTATGAGATTATAAGCTTTAGATACTGAAGAAGTTAAATCCTCTGAGAATTACATAGATATATATATTAGTTCCCGAAAATCTAGAATTGCAACCACGGTGAGTCTTGATTCACTAGATTGCGGATATAATGTTAGGCTCTGTGAGTAACTTATAAGTTATAAACGCCTCCAGCTACCAAGATACCTAGTGTTGAGATCGAGATCGAGGTTGAGACAGCCCAACTCACTCACCCGCACTCGAATACACTACCTACAGCATATTATTCACTCCATATCCACTCAAACCCCTCCGTACGTAGTACATAAACACCCATCTCTTACTCTCAGCTATTTGTAACTCCCCGAAAAAAGATGGTATTCTACTAAAGTGGAGTCAGGAGAATGTTTTGAGAATACTTTCTTCTCGTTATCTTTAGACAACTATTGGATAGAGATGTTGGGTTTAGGTGATGATAAGAGTGTACGTACATACTATCAATGTCAAGATCGGACGATAGACAAACATCTTGACGTTGTCATTTGAAATGAATCATTACTATTGTCACTCGATACATATTTACATCATCATCTTCCTAAATCTCTCACCTTCTTTTCTCGAGTCTCAATTCCAGAAGATCGGTTACTTTTTAAATTCCTCCTATATCCACATTCTACATCTTCCGCTGCTTGGAACTCACCATCGACCATCATTTCTCCGATGGATATTTTGCGGATGATAGAACTCGAACCGTTTGGAGTGGTGTTTATATAATGGATAGTCAAGTCTACTGACATGCATTTGATTTCCCACTTGTGAGCCCCTCACTTTTACTTTCACTTTCAGTCGGGTAAGAGAATCTAATTCACTCAATACATGTAGGTGATATTGGGCAAACAGGGAGAATCTCAACTATCAAGGAAGTCCACGGGTTGAATCACTCCTTACCCCTCACTCCTCAACCCTTATCAACACTTCCACCATAGGTATTCACTCTATAGCACCCACTCTAGTACCCCTGTGTTTCTTTCAAC